GTCGTCATTTGCTGAAACGCTTGGACTCCGCCTTATCATTTAATACGACTACCTGCTCGAGAATCTGAGTCATATTTACATGTATCTTTAGCCGCCCACACTTTGTGAAATTAAATCCGTCTACATCCGTATATAAATGATAAGATTTTAATTGCATTTATTTCAGGTTTAGCTACCTTCTTATTTTTACGTTCGTTCCAGTTTTGTGAATTGATATTTTTATATAACAAAATACTTAGTGCTTTCATGACACCTTATTTTGTTTACGTATTTACGGACTTTCTTACTTAAATATTAAATTTAGCGCTGAAGCTGAACTGTAGTTTTTATAATCACCACGTTAGTAAAAGCATTGTAAAAGTATACATATGGGGAGTTAGGTATTGCATTGGGGTAAAAAATGACCCCACACTTTTTGGGGCATCAGAAATCCGAATCAAACAAAATTCTTAGACATAAAGGAAGAGCTGGAAAGCTTTTGGGCAGAATGGCGTATGCGCAAATGTGTGAAAGTAACAAATAATTGTCAATTTTTGTATTATGACTAGACTAATTGCATTGAATGGAATAAAATTGGCTGCGTATGTTCTATAGAAAGTTTATTTTTTTGAAAAACGGAAAATTATAACTAAAAGTATGAGCAGATGCAGTATTTTTTTCTCTAAAAGAAACATATTTAGACTTTTGCTCTAAAATAATTAGGGGAGCTAGTAATTGACTATAAAGAAATTACCATTGAAATCCTTATGCTGCGTCGCGCTGGGCACCACCCGGTATATGGTTGGAAAGAAAAAAAAACATGTATCAAACTATGAGCATTGAATTTATAAGTTATAAATTCAATGCTATGAGTAAAAATCCAATACGGCATCCATTTACAATGATGAAGTTGATGACAATATCTCGAAAACCGCCATTTTGAAAAATTTTTTCTGCGTGCATTGAATTTATCCCATCGAATCTTGCAACTTTTACTCTTTGTTACTAAAATATCTGAACTTTTTAAAAAATAACGATTTTCACTTTTTTTCAAAATATCGCATCGAAATATCCCTCCGCATCAAAAACTACACAATTTTGCCAATTTAACTGAATCTGTAAGTATGGGTAATAATAACAAAGATAGATATTATCTTACTCAATTTTAGACACCCTATATAGAACTACTTTAGGTAAAAAATTAGTTTGTGTAAATAAGAGTATTAGTACCTAAATAAGCGATCATTAGATATATATTCATAAATTACAAGATCGTATAATGTTAGAGGTTCCTATACCGATAGCAGGTACCTATCTACCTATGCACCAATAATAAATAGGTTTTTACATTAACTTTGAGATAAACTAAATATGGTAATAAAAATATCCAACAGTTTTATTCGCAAATACGTGGAGATCAAAAATGATTAACCGTAAAGAATCGATTTTAAAGAATTCTACATGGTGCAGTATGTACGGCAACGACAAAATTATAATGGTCCTTCGATGCTTAAAATGATAACCATACCTTTCTAATTACAATAAAATATCGATTGTTGAAAACCTCATCTAGAACAGAATTGTTTCCGTTCTCGATTTATCGTATAATCTAGACCAGGTTAGGTACATAGAACGACATAAGAATTTGATTTTATGATTTCTTTGGAAACTTTTTGGTAATTTGTAATTTTTTCATATTTGCGACCGTTGTCGAGAAATAAAAATACAATTTTCGGTAGGCACCTACTTAGCCAAATGAATGTATAATTTTTAAAATGACCTTAGCTTTATTTGGATAATCTCTTGATTTTATTTAGAGTCTTGACAGTTCGCATTTGAAATTGTATCTTGTGTTATATACAAATTACAGGTTTAATTTATAAAGTGTACGGTGAAGTTATAACATCCTGTAGATCAGTAACGAAACGTTTGCGGAACTATGAATGTTTATATAAACTTTTAGTCATAAAATAAACCAAGAATTAGCCCCTTCCGTATTTGCATCACATTTAGGAATACCTTATGCAATTATACGTACATTGCGAAAATCAGGTAAAGTACCGATGAAGTAACCGATCTCGATAAGGGGAGGTGGATGGTGTTTGGTAGAAATCAATTCTTTTCGTTGAGACTTTTCATTAGAATACCTACCATGGATAAAATTACTTTCCAAAAAAATGCGCAAAAAACTGTTAAGTAATCAATAAATCGATTTAATTCAATCAAACGCCATACTATAACAAAGTTTGGGTTTTCAATTCGGTAGTGTGTCTTTTCATTTCTATTGATAGCCTGATACATAAATATAGAATAAGGATCCTACCAACGGTAAGTACATAGGTATAAATGAATATAAAGTATAATTGTGTTTTATATATTATATAGGAAGTAGGTGGGTATTTCTGTGTAATACGAGTGCAACATGTATCTCCACATGAACTTTACATATCATTGGACGATGTTATAATTTATTATGTAGATAAGAGTGAAGGTGTGAACCTTTAATTATTAGAATTTGCGTTCCTAATTTTCAGGAAAACGAAACGCCAAAAAAAGTTTTGGTTTTCATTGGCGTAATGTAGGTGAGTAAACTTACATATTGAAGTTTTTTTTGAAAAAAAGCGGTTTTTTGACTGTAATTCCCAAACCAATTGAAATTTTTTTTTCAAAATTGTTCATTTTGTGTAGAATTATATTAGTTTACTACACTATAAATTTCAACAAATTCGGTTCACTGGTTCGCCTGAAAATTAGGCACGCAGTATCTCCATAACGTTATAAATGCAGACTCCAACCTTAAAAAATCCTATTCAATACACTATGTACTTATTTTCCGGTTCATATAAAAATATGATTATAGTTTCTGAAAGATCAAACGTCGCAATTAACATCTGTGGGCAGCATCTTGTAATAGTAGCTATGACAAAGTGATATTTGTTTTCAAACACGGTCAGAAAACAAATAAAAACGAATATGGCTAATTTCCTCTTTTTCCGAAACTTTGGAACTGATCCAAATTTTCTATTTTTTAAAACATGTCGAATGCAAGTGAAAGTACGAACATTGAGTTTTGTCTTTTAACCTCGCTTTTAACTATACGAAAATAGGTTAGTGTGTCCATACCTCATGTATTTTTTTCCCAATTGGTTTTAGACGGAATGAAAATGTAGTACGTTTTTAGTTAATTAAATGATTAAACGGGAGCTGTTTTCAACGCTTGGAAGTGCACATTATTATTATATTAGTGCATTACTTATAGTTATACCTAAGGCATTTAAAAAACATTACAACTACACAGGCGGTTGCAAGTGCGGTTGATAGCCACTTCCAATACACAATATTTGAGATAGAATAAACAACATTAAAATTTTAATTTCGATAATGATTGATCTAGTTTCTATTATATTTTATACGAGATTTTATATGACAATAATACGGCACTTAAATTGATTTTTTGAAGCGTGAGTGCACCTTGGTAGAAAGGGGAAAGTGATTCTTAAACGGGATTACTCCACTCGTTAATGACCACAATGAGAAATGCATGTAATTAAACAAGTATAATGAATACTTATGCAATAAGCACGGAATGGTAGTGTATACGTTATGGCTAATTAAACTACAAATACGATACAAGATTATTCAACACCTCTGCTGTATATCATTTATAATCAAGAACATCGGCCTGCCAATTAAAGGAATCAAATTAATTGGAGCGTACATTCAAAACCGAGTTTATTCGACCGATTAATTAAGCAAGTTCGTAATTGAAAAAAGCATGTGCTGGTGAGCGAGTAGTTTGGAAAAATATAAATAAATGTCAAGGTATTCGGTCTGGCGCCATGTAGTACATACAACTAACTATCGGTACATACGCGAATGAGGGGGTCTGTATACAAGAAACCAGCTGTTAAGAATGTTGCCATAATCTCAGCATAATATCATAATAAATCCAAGACCTACGCCACCTTGATTATACATCTGATAAACTTCCACTTTTAACGCGCCTACAAAATTATAATGATATGTTCACAAGATAATTTGTCATGGTACAGATGTTAAGAATGGTATTTTTAGAGCTAAAAGAAACAAAAGTGTTAGGATGAATCTTGACTTGACAAAAGTGTCGAGTCGAGGTCCATTACCCCTTTTTGTATTTAATCAGTGACTCATGTTTAAAAATGGCACTCTCGGTGAGTTGGCCGAGACACAATTTGCTGCAATAAAAATTAAAAAATCAGGCCCGTCATTGACAAAGCGTTGAATTCCCAAATGCTGCACCACTTATTATAAGTACCTACCTATTTACATAAAAGTTTTATTTATTTAAACTGACGGAAAGTGTTCCACTATGCTAATGACCAATTACTTTCTATACCCTTTATTACTGAAAAATATGTCTCAATGTTTCCACTGAAACATTTGGTAAAATAGGTTTGAAATGACCATATGGTATTTTTTCTCGTCGTTCTCTCCGTTTATGGTAACAAACCTACCAAACTTTGGAAAGAGAAGAGTTATAGTTGTAATTGTCACAACATAGTCCTACTGTTTAGCGTTAGACAATCAGTAAATAAGTTTGGCATTGCCCACAAGTACAAATTTGAGTCATCGACCATCTTGCTCCGGAAAACCATCAAAATACCAATCCTACGCACGCCGCCCTGTTTAGAAGCGACACCAATTTAAAGTAACACCATACATGATAAAATTAGATTTAAATTTGTTAACCAAATTGAGGTTACGTGATTACGGAAAAGTATTATCGACCATTGACGCCCATTTAAGGAAATCTGGATTATCCGAGAAACTTGCAATAATTAAAATGTTGTTCGTTTATTATTAATTAAATCAAATCTGGCCACATTACTCATCTGGCATTATTACAAACAGACAAATGATATTGTAACATTCGAACTTTCTTTGTGCCCGTTCTACTTTAATACAACAATGAATTATTCAAATAAAAATTTAAGGACAGAAATTTACAGATCTGAAATCCTTTATTTATTATTATATTTCTCCCTCGTCTCGAAAATAACTGACATGTAGTAACTTCGCTTGGCGTCAAGTATCACACATTTAAAAGCTAAGCAAGCAAAAAGGAAAAAAATAAATGGGTCCCCCGCCCGTAACCATCCATCAGCCGCTTGCCCGCTGACTTCATTCTTTGTTTGTGTGTCAGTACGTTCGCACGTCTGGAAAATTTTTTTTCCGTTCGTTCCTTTTTTTGTTCTTTGCGCAGTGTTTTGGTTATGCCGGGGTTTCGTCGTATTAGGGCACGGAGTCCTAAGGGGAAGAGTGGCAGGATCCTGAAGGTGTTGGAGGATTTGGAGAGGCGAGTTAAAGGAATTGAAGGTCGGGGGCGGCGACGTAGAAGTCGACGTTTACTTTCGTCTTCGTCATCGTCCAGAAGCTCGTCTCCTGCGGCTGCCAGTCCGTCGCCTATTCGTCACCGACGGTCTCGCTCCCTTTCTCGTTCTCGCTCTCGTTCACGCTCACGCTGCGGATTTCCCATCCGCATTAGTGAGGTCCGTCGCAGTCGAGACTCTCCGATTTCGAGCGACGCAGTAGCAGAGGACGTTTCAATGGCAGGTAAGGGGCTTTGCTTTATTACCTTTATTTTTCCGAGTCATTGAGCACTCGAAGAATCTCTACTTTTGTTACAGTAGGATTAAGAACATACAGGGTATGTTCATTAAGAGTCGTTGAGCACTCTTCTTCATAGTAATGAATCTATGAAACATGATTTACTGAGCTATTGAACGCTCAAAATTTTTTTTTGGACGCTAGGCTTATTTTTAAGCTCAAGCAGTGAGTTTTTGAACTCTCGTTAACATAGTAAGGTTTCTATGTGCGAAAACATTTGACAACATTTTTTGTTTTTGCCAGCTTTGTGTGCCTCTGAGTTTTAACACAAGGCGTTGTTTTAGATAACATTATTTTCGAAGGGGAGGCCGCCCAAGGTTCAGCGGCGGCCCTAAGTGAAGATGTGTTGGACATCTTAGGACCTAATGAGGCACCCACCATTGTGCATGGGCCAAAAATTAATGGTAATTTGGTGCCACGGTGGGAAAGCATTTTGCAATCAGGGCTGTCAGATGAAGACAGGAACAAGTCTCTGTCAAAACTCCCTCCACCTGAAAATTTCCAGAAATTACTTGCACCACAATTAAATGCAATGTTGGAAAAAGCCATTTCTCTGTCGCAAATTGCAAGAGACCTTAAATTGCAGAAACTACAACAATTGGTGGTAGGCAGCATCTCCGCCGTGGGCCAGGTCCTCAGTTCAATTCTAGCAGAGCCAGGGGGGGGAGACAGGCATCATATTGAACTGTTATATGGGGCAGGGAGTTTGTTGGCGGATTTGTGGCATTCTCAAACAGTCACACGCAGGGACTTAATCTCTATCAACCTGAGTAAGGAATTTCAAGAAGCCAATAAGCGGATTTCCCTGGATAACTTTCTATTTGGAGAAGATCTACAGGAAAGGTTAAAAGTTTTCAAAAATTTGGAAGACTGTGGAAAAACCCTCAAAGCAAGACCCCCCAAAACCGCTTCAACACCATCAAGGTCAAGATCCAACACTAGTGCTTTGAGTTCAAGGTCTTTAAACTACAGAGCCCCGACTCGGGTCCTGCGGGGAGCTCACCGAGGAAGGGGCAATTTCCGTCAACAAGCTCCTTACCCACTCAGACAACAAGCTCCACAGCAGTTCAGTCAACCTCCGAGGGACCCGAAGAAGCACCGTTTTCGAGGCCACTTTTAAAGGTTAGGGTGCTAGCGGGCAGACTCAAGTTTTTCTATAGAAAGTGGGATTTGTTTTGTAATGACAGGGTAATTTTAAGTTGGGTAAAAGGCCTTAAAATTCCATTTTGGAAATTACCATCGCAGCGAATATCCAATAGGCCCGGTTGGTCTGGCTACCCAGGGGCGGCGGTACAACGCTCTGTTGACAAACTCCTGTCTGTGGGGGCCATAAACAAGGTCAAACCATGCAAAAATCAGTTTCTGTCTAAATTTTTTCTCAGGCCCAAAAAGGATGGATCTTACAGATTCATCCTAAATCTCAAAAAATTAAATAAATTTGTGGCTTGCGAGCATTTTAAGATGGAGGATCATCGCACTGTTGCCAGGCTTCTTTTTACTAATTGCTTTATGGCCAAGATTGACTTAAAAGATGCCTATTTTTTATTACCCATTCATAAAAACCACAGGAAATATCTTAGGTTTCAGGTTGAAGGTAACATATATGAATACAATTGTTTGCCATTTGGACTAAATGTAGCTCCTCGAATATTCACCAAACTAATGAAACCAGTGTTTGCACACCTTAGAAAAAAGGGACTTATTTCAGTAGTTTATTTAGACGATATTTTATTATTTGGAAACACTCGTCAGAGTTGTGTTCACAATGTTAAAGAGACTCTGAAACTTATCACGTCTTTGGGGTTTATACCGAATCTGGAGAAAAGTCAACTAGTCCCGTCACAAGAGATTGAGTACTTGGGGTTTGTATACAATTCAATAGATATGTCCATCAGTTTACCATCTACAAAAATCTCCAAAACATTAAAATTGCTTAACAGATTTTCGCTATTACAACGCTGTTCAATCAGGGACTTTGCTACAGTTTTAGGAACTTTGACTTCCGTGTGCCCTGCCGTTAAATACGGTTGGCTTTACACGAAACTGCTTGAAAGAGAAAAGTATTTGGCGCTGGGTACATCAGGCAACTATAATAAAGAAATGGACATATCCTCTCAAGTTTTAAAGGAATTACAGTGGTGGTTAAGCAACTTACCATGCGCGATAAACCCGATTCGATTAGATGTTTTCAGTATTGAGATTTTTTCAGACGCCTCTTTGACTGGATGGGGCATTAGTTGTTCTTCGGAGAAATCGCGGGGATTTTGGTCAGATTCAGAAAGGCATCACCACATAAATTATCTCGAACTTCTTGCGGTGTCTTATGGTCTGAAATGCTTTGCTGCAAACCTAAGTAACTGCAACATCCTTTGTCGAGTCGATAACTCAACGGCCTTGGCCTATATAAACAAAATGGGTAGTATTAAATTCCCGAAGCTTAATGAACTTGCCCGGATCATCTGGCAATGGTGCGAAACGCGAAACTTGTTTATATATGCTTCATACATTAAATCTTCGGACAATATCATTGCGGATGCAGAATCTCGCTGTCTGAAGATTGAATCGGAGTGGTCCTTAAATGTATCAGCATTCAATAAGATTTTGGACGGTTTTGGTCAACCAGAGATAGATCTGTTTGCTACCAAAAATAATGCCAAATGCACAAAGTTTGTCTCATGGTTGAGAGATCCGGAGAGTATTGCTATTGACGCGTTTACTATAGATTGGAAGAATTTTTTCTTCTATGCGTTTCCTCCGTTTGCACTAATACTAAGAGTGCTGCGGAAAATTATAACAGACAAGGCCAGGGGCATACTGATAGTACCTCTCTGGAGCTCCCAACCGTGGTACCCTCTCTTTACTTCTCTGTTAGAAGGCCCCCCAATTATTTTTAAACCTAATAGGGATTTATTGTTGTTTAACAGGATACCACATCCCCTATGGAGAAAAACTACCCTGGTGGCCGGGATTGTATCATCAAAGCCTTAAAAGCCATGGGGATTCCTTCTGAATCCCTAGAGATCTGTTTAGCCTCAATAACTCCCAATACTATTAAGCAATATAATGGGGGCTTGCGTATGTGGTGGCAATACTGCGATAATGAACACTTAAACCCCCTTGTTATCTCGGTACCAGCGGTTTTGAAGTTTTTTACTGAGCAATTTAACCGGGGCACATCTTTTAGTACGCTGAATTCTTACCGGGCTGCTCTTTCACAGCTGTTTGGTCCAAACCTGAGCGAAGATCTAAGGGTAAAGCGATTTTTTAAGGGGTTAAGCGCTCTAAGGCCTCCTTTGCCAAAATATGGCAGTACGTGGGACCCCGCGACGGTTTTAAATCATTTCGGCTCGCTGAATAGCACCCATCTTTCCTTAGAGACTCTAACGCTCAAGACCGCGATGTTACTAGCGCTAGCCACAGGACAACGCGTTCAGACCTTGGCGAGCATCGAAATTAATAACATTCGGCGGCTATCTGATAAGATAGAAATTCCCATTTCGAAGCGCATTAAGACTTCTAGAGTTAAAAGAATTCAGCCAACTCTCATATTGCCTTTTTTCGATGATAATATTTCCATTTGCCCCGCAAGGACTTTGCTCTTGTACTTGAAAGAAACACACTCCTTTCGAGGTAGCGTTTCTAGTTTTTTTTATAACTTATAAAAAACCCTACCGAGCTGCAACCAGCCAGACCATAAGTAGATGGCTTAAAACAGGGTTAAGGCAAAGCGGCGTAGATACGAGCCATTTTGGGGCTCACAGCACTCGACATGCCTCTACCTCACTGGCATCGAAGAAGGGTATCTCGTTTGATACAATACGGTTAGCAGCGGGTTGGACCGAAAAATCCAAGGCATTCGCGCTTTTCTACAACAGGCCGATAGTAACAGATGGTACGCATTTTGCGAGGGCGGTTCTTACTCCCTAATGTCTTTAGTTCTTTAGTAGTTACAGTTTAAATTTTACATAGTTACACAGTTTTACATAGTAGTTACAGTTTAAATGCAATTTAAGTGAGATTAATGTTTTGGTTTCATGTTTTTTACACTATGTATTAGTATTGGTATATTATACGGTATTACACGTTATCCTGAAACTTTTGTTGCAACTTACTTTAAACGGCTACATGTCAGTTATTTTCGAGACGAGGGAGAAATATAATTCATGGATTAAACGAACTTACCTTAATGATGTTTAATCCTAATTATATGATCCCTCGTCGAAGAAAATAACTCCCACCCCCATCCCTCCCTGACCGTTGCAACAGGGGCTTTAAACTAGAATGAAGTCAGCGGGCAAGCGGCTGATGGATGGTTACGGGCGGGGGACCCATTTATTTTTTTTCCTTTTTGCTTGCTTAGCTTTTAAATGTGTGATACTTGACGCCAAGCGAAGTTACTACATGTCAGTTATTTTCTTCGACGAGGGATCATATAATTAGGATTAAACATCATTAAGGTAAGTTCGTTTAATCCATGAATTAT